TTCGCTCATTCTACAGTCAAGACTGCGCCACAGATCTCTACATGCCAACCATTCCAACATGTCTACTGAGCTTGTCACTGTATTTACATGCAGCACATCAACCGTCAATAGGTAACTTACTGAAGTACGAGTGTGTGCGTAAGTGTGTAAGTGTGTTTGTTTAGGGGGGGGGGGGGGGGGGTCTGACATGAACGGTGACTCCATCTAAAAAATGAAATAGCCTCTAGCTCACTGAGCCGCCACAGGTTGTATGACAGGTATTGGTTTCAGATGGATATATCGGTAAGTAAACTGTTCAAACAGCATTTGCCGGGGCTAATCTACGGTACGGCTCACTGTGCAAGTGCTGAAAGGAGAACGCTTCCGGCGGTGTTTCTTGTTCACAGTCCACAGCATTTCCCCAGGAGTGGAATGCTTTGAACAGTATGTTGCGTATTCACTAACTGTGTTCACCGTGGACTTCAGTTGATCATGACTGGTACTCTGAAAAGTGCATGGACATGAAACTGGTAATCCTAACTTAGTATTATGTCCGTATTCTCATGTGCCTGGGAAGTGCTGGCTGCATGTTTATGTGCCTGGGAAGTGCTGCCAGAGTCAACAGTGCAATACTCAAGATATGCATGCGATGCTGCAGCACATTTACTCAGAATAATTGTCAAGGTCTATGATGCAGCTAACTGTTTACCTGTTGCACCCTGCTGCCGACCTCCCAGGCGACGAGCTGGGAAGTGATGGCCACTCACACGGTCGGTCGCCATCACCTACAGCGTACCAGACCACTCAAGCAGTCGACCAACAACGAAACAAATCTGCTGGAGATTGCTTGGAATGACTAGGTGAGTTTCAGACGACCGCTAAGCGCATGTTGGTGGTAGCGCAGTGCTAGTGCGAAAGACGCGCTCAGCCTAGTCATAGAGTTGCACTGTCAACCAGTCAACGACATGCTTGCGCTACAAGTTCCTGGCACTAACAAGCTACTGCAATGACTTCTTCCCATTTTTCCAAACAATTATTTTCTTACACAATCAAGAACAACGGTTATCGAATATTACACTAGAAATAAAAGTCAGCAACGTCTGTTCAAGCCATGCGCTCGTCGTTGATAGTTTTGTAGTCATGTCACCTGGTCGATCAAGTCAAACGCCTTTTTCATACAGACAGTAGATTTGCTCTTTTCACTACACGGTACACCTTTACTTGATGTAGCTAGCTGGATCCATGGAGTCGTGGAACTGGAAGCCGGCATGCAGGATCTGATGACTACGTGGTCTACCTACGTAACATGGTAACTCGTTAGTACTAGTATAGTCCGTGTTGAGTGGTGTGATCATTGATGGAGTAGATCGGAGTACAAAGGCCATGGCAACAATCAAGGTGTTTCCTGGCAACCAAGTCGTCTGAAAAACAAACCAGCTACAGTGCAGTGCCTGCCACGCACGAGTGCAAGCGTACCGCAAAGTTGGAGTCGAGAGTAGAGAGTAGATCGATTAGTAAGACTGACACTTGACAGACAGACTGAAGAGTCGACTGCGAATGTCATGCCGGTGAAGAATGAAGTCAACATGGTCAAGAGCCATGCATGCTAGATCATGCGCTAGCAAGACTCAACGACGTTTCACTCTCGACTGGAAACCATGCATGACATGCCTAGGCGCCTGGGAAACATGGTAAACCAGGTAAACATGGTAAAACTAAAAAAAGGCAGAGGCTAGGAAAGCGGGACAGATACGCAGGTTACGTCCTCTCTAGCTTCTACTAGTAGTAGTGTACTACATGCTGTGAATGAAGAGAAGCACGAACATCGAATTCCGTTCAACTGATTCCAGCAAGTCGGGAATAGAAGTTTGAATTCTGTAGACCAGAGGTACAGTAGAGTGAGTAGAGAGCTAGCTAGAGCCTACACTAGCCTACAGGGATTGCTGTGAGCAGTTCGTATTGCTTTGCCAACTACTGCATACCGGTATCAGTATCACCCTAAAGCCAAAATAGGAACTCCGATATTTTGAAAGAAACCAGTATACTACTAGTAGGCGAAGGAAGGAAAAGGGCGGTCCACGCGGCAACCATGAGCAAGGACAACATGGAGGGTGCTAATAATGGCGGAGAGTCCAAGACCACGACTGATATCACTGTAGCTGATGCACTAGCACCGGTCAACGGCACTGCTGATGATGCCGAGGGGGACAGCAAACAAGCATCAGCATCATCCAGCAGAGCTGCCAAGTCCAGAGCTAGTCCGAAGAAGACCAAGTCCAGTGCGTCCATCAAATCACGAGCTACACCTCCGCCGAAATTGCGCCGCCGTCTGTCAGCCAAGGATAGCGATGTATCGGATTCGGATGGCGGCGGCGAAGCGGGGGAGAAGGTGGAAGACAAGGCAGGCACTTCTGGTGAGGCGGGAATGCCGTTGAGCGAAGATATGCTACCTGTGGCAGTGAGTGGCATTGTGGAAGAAACACCATCAACAATCAAGCTACTTGAGAGTCAGGTCATGGAGAAATCCAGCACAGCTGCTGGAGACGGAGTTAGCGCAACATCAGTGAAGAGTGAAGTAGGAACAGCAGCAGCAGCAGCAGAGAGAAACAGTGGTAAGTACTAATCATGACTTACATCTTGAAGGAATGATTCAATCGTGCACAAACTAGTACCGGTAACCGTATGAACATTAAATGGCTTAATTTTTAAAGGCTGTTCATACTAGTTTGTGCACGATCGAGTCATTTCTTCAAGAATAACATTGCAACGCCCACCATTATTATTGTGATGCTGACGGCAAACCTCCCCAGCACCTCTAATAATTCCTTCTTGCTCCTCGAGGCCTCGCAAACTCACTCTGAGTGCTCCAGGCAAAGACAAAGGTAGATGATAAAATGCCAATGGGCATACGCCCATTGTGCATTGCCAAATATGGAAGGCACTCATATGAGTAATGCATGTGAGTATGCTGTAATCAGGAATGCACTGTTCAACACCCCACCGAACACAAGCATACCTAGGCGACTTGCTGTGTGGGGTGTTGGCAGTACAAACTCGGCCGTCACTGTGCAATGGGCTTATTGGGAGAGAACAACAAATTCAGCCCCGGCAGAAACCTGTAGTGCGCTCAGTGAAATCCAGACAGCGTGAATCAACTCATCCCGGGTGCTGTTTAGCCGAGGTTCTGGTCAGAGACCTTATGAAAAGAGCAGCGCCGCTTTCGAGTGCACAGAACAGTGTGTGTGCTTGGTCTGCGTAGCACCCTGCTCTTTTCTATTCATGAGGTTGGTTTTCTCTGGCCAGGACCATAGGGCTGCGCACTGGTGCAGCAGCAGGTCAGGACTTACCACGTCTTTATGTGATTGCATTACATCAAGCATAGCTGTATATTATCATATGAACAGAGCCGGGTTCCCTTCACTTTACAACTTCCTTCAACTGCACCGTTTTTACTACCCCATCGTTGGGATCTTATGTGATCTGATACTGCAATCATTGTTCAAGGTGTTTGTTTGCATGGGAACCCATCACAGGCACTGGTTCTCCAGAGCATACAAAGCATACACAATGATGTCATTAATAATAGTCTCCTGTGATGAACAATGTCAATGACAGTCCATTATGCCGCAAACAAAAAGGATATCATGGCCAGCCTATCAAGGCTGGTGAATCAAGTTCTTGGATCATTACTCGAATATAACTATAAATTATTGTTATGTGGTGTAGACCTGCTCTGTAAAGGCCCATTCCTACATTGCAGTGATATGTCCCGTGATGTGGATACCACCTGTCACCTGTGGATATAGATACATGTACAGGTATACTGCAATGTGGACGGTGCTTGGTGGGTGGGTGCGTAGGTGTGTATGGAAGGAAGGGGGTGGGGGAGGGGGCACAAACATCCCCGTGTTTAGAATATCGGTCTCAAGGGTATGGCGTACTGTTATGATTCTGCTGAAAGTCTTCAAGTGCAACGCGTGAGTATTGTGTGCATGTGTGTGTTTGTATTATGCAATACAGCCGGTGCTAATAGTCACCCTGGTTCAGCCACGAGTCATAAGATGCCGCAGCAATACACTCACCACCAGCAGCAGCAGGAGCAACCTACTAATGGACACCATGCCCAGTCAGTCACCAGTCCACTGGATGCGTTGCCATCCAGTCCGACCCGGAGTCGTGTTTCAGCCTCCACCGCTGAGCCCACCACGTCCAGTGATGCCAGAATACAGATGCACAGTCACAATGCAGCTGCTGCTGGTGATGACTCTTCTTCAGCAGCAGCGGCCGCCGCCGCTCGCTTTTCAAGACATCAGTCACAGCCGCACGTGCAAATCAAGGCCGGTGATGCCCGCCATCGCGGCGATCAATCCGTTGAGACAACGAAGACCATGAGCCAGATGGCCAAGGAGCGTCCGCTTGTACAGAAAGCGCATTCGTACCGCTACGAGCCGCCAGCCACACCCCTACCCGATGACTCATTGTCAGGTATGGCTTCACAGTGAAGTAACAGTTACTGGTACATTCTAGCGACTGAATGTGTTTTGTGTACTCTGGTGTGTACCGTATTTATTAATATAATTAGAGCTCCATTCAACCCCAGTCACTCTTAGTCTTGGCCACACTTCTGAGAGCTCACAGTGAAGGCCAACGCAGATACTCAGTAGCTGGCTGGAGATAGAGTTTCAGTCCGTATATCTCTGTCCATGATTTCGGCGTGTGTTTGATTTCTCCTGTTCAGAAACCAAGACTGAGCTGATAAAGCGCGTACAGGGACAGTTGCAGCAGTGGGAGAAACAGCTGGACCACATTCAGACTGGGAGAGAGCAGGCTGGTGAGTGTCTACGAATGCCCAATAAATTTAGTGCTCTTGCACTGATACTTGAAGTACAATGTAGCAATCTTTCAGGTCTCCAGATTTTAGTCAAGTCCAAGACCAACATGAGGTCACATGATGAGGAAGTACAAAACTGCATGGGACACATGTTACTATGATAATTTATAATCTTCACGCCTGCACCTGACTCTTGTGCTATGATACGCATCGCCTATGATACCCCTCAGAATTTCCCACCTTACCCCCCCCCCCTTATGTTCTGGCTGCCCGTTTTGGATCCATCAGTTGCCTGATGATCGTAGTAATACGTGAAACTCAGAGTTGTAACAAAGCTTCCAATCTCTCTCTTGTGTATAATCAATACTAGTTAGTCGCACTCATGTACACTCACTGCAAGTATGTGGTGAACAGTGGTGGCCAGTGAGAGTTTGCGTTTAGGAATTGAACAGCTCTAGCAATACATGTGCAAGCACTGGACCGTGCACTCTAAAGCAACACTGCTGTTAAAATATCCATGTGAGGATTTGCTCCTGTTTTCCCTGGCTAGCAATGCTGTGCAACGTAGAATGTATTGACGGTTGCACACCATTCCTTGTTTGTCCACGCTGCAGACAAGCAGCATAAGCATGAGCTGCGCAAAAGCAAGACACTGATCCACGAGCTGAAAGTACAGAACGATGAGAAAGAACGGCAACGTCGTCAACTGGATGAGGAGAGAGCACGTCTAGCTGAACAACTGGTAAGCAGTAGCAATGTCAGTGTTGTACGTTATTTTGTGTACGTCGTGTGTATGTGGTGTTGGTGCATGCGCGTGTCGCTGTGGTGTGACAAGCAGTCTTCGTCTTGAGTTCGTCGTGTCTAGTTGTGTTTCCGTCGCCTTGTCACAAAATAATTATAGTCTTTCAAGTGTGTGGTCATCTCGTCGCCCATTGTCTGAGTGTGGAGATGGCACGGGGCTGGGAGCAGGCACGGGGCTGGGAGCAGGCACGGGCCTGGGAGCAGGCACGGGGCTGGGAGCAGGCACGGGGCTGGGAGCAGGCGAAGAAAGTCAGTTACAACATCAGTATCAGTATCAGTGATTTGCTACCAGGACAACATGGCTTCATGATTGATACAACTTGCAGCAAGAGCACTCCAACAGTACATGTACCGTAAAGTACTGCCAGAGCGCCCCGTCTCGCGAGAGCGCCCCACCTTGATTTTACAGCCAGAGAAAGGAAAATCGTATGGCAGAGTGCAACGAAGTGTGTACGATGTGAGAATCTTAGTGTACTAAGGTCACACTTGGCAGGTTTTTGTGTGGAGCTTGTGTCCACTCGAAGGTACGGATTGACTGCAAACCGTGCAATATGTGTACAAGGTTCATGTCGTATGACCTACAGACAGCAGACCACCTCCACGCTACGACCACGAAAGGATGAGATGGTGGGGCGCTCTGGCGATACTTTACGGTACATACATTGTTGTTGGTTGACAGCATGTTACAAGTTGGGGGACTACTGGCAGTGGTCCTCCAACTTGTAACATGCTGTCAACCAACAACATGTTTTCAACAACACAAGGTTTGTCTAATACCGTGACATGTATATACATGTAGCTGAGAAGATGAGAAACGGAAGGTCTGCTGTCACCACATGATTGTGGAAATACTGAAGTAGTTGATTGCGCTGGTCATCTTTCTTTCTTTCTGATATCACCAGAACGTAGGATCTGATTTATGCTAGCTGCTGTTGAATTTCTCCACGGTGGTTCTGATTGAATCAATCCATGACAACGCACATGTGGCGTGGTGTCTAAATAGCACGTGAAGCAATACTGCTTCTCGTTCCTTTTCACTACCAGCATTGCCGATGCAGACGATGTGTACGGTATGTCGGTATGTGACTTGTTGTGTGCTTTCTCACTGGGCCAGCTGAGTACAACTGATGATCTGGTGGACAGGGAAACGACGGTAAGCAACACGTCTATTTATACTGCATATGCAGCTGTACTATCAACACATTTTACACTGCATGTACTGTACTATGTACTGTACTATGTACTGTACTATGGTTCTAGCCTTCCCAAAGATACAGTACTCAGTAGTCATACAAATCACGAGTCCAATATGTTTGTTGCAGGTGCATTGTCATTGTGTTTTCTTCGAGGACTTGGTCATTCAATGGGTACGTCGTGCTATGTGTCCCTTCTGAAATTGTCAGTCAACTCTAATTCTCTGCTTTCCTTGCTTTTCTCGCTCTTCTTTTTCCCCAAACAGTTGGAACAGACTCAGGACCAGCTGAAGCAGTATGAAGAAGCATGTCAAGACTTGGAAGAGCAGAGGACAAGCTTAGTGAGTGAATGCATGTACAGAATATGTACAGTCCGAGACCTTCATTTCAGTGATTGGTTTGTGTCTTGTGCTCTGTCAGTCTGTTTGTGTGCAGGCTCGTCACTCCCGCATACACTAGATGTACCTTAGGTTAAGCGATCACCATTGCACTTTGACGTTTGTAATGGCGAGTGCCATTGTGGTTGGTGATGCCTCTGTGCCGTGTTGGTGTACATGTGCATGTGCATGTGCGGTGCACAGGAGACTGAAGTGGCTCAACTGGACGACGAGCTGCAACAGAACGAGGTGCTTAGAAGGCGGCTCAACGAGCAAGTCACCCAACTGCAAGGACAGCTGGCTATCGAAGAGCAGCGCAGTCGCTTCTGCATTCTACTATAAGGGCATCACTGGGGCTAGAGAGCACATAGCCACGAAGCATTGCCAGTGAACAGACTAGACTTAGCTCAGTGATCTGGTACGGTGTGACTCATGCCAGCACATCCCCAGCTACGCTTTTGAACGCTGCATTCTCTATACTGTCTGCTGCAGTGTTGCTGCTAAGAATACTCTCTGCTGCAGTGTTGCTGCTAAGCTATCTCTATACTCTCTGCTGCAGTGAATATTTCGGAATAGTATAAGGCTATAAGCCCGGGAGAAGCTTTCTTACAAACCAATTGACGACGTTGATGAGCAAGCAGAGTGTACGATGCCTCTACTTACAAGTACAACTTGTAGTAAATTACTAGTATGCAATTTTGAATTTTAGTACTTGAAGTATTCGCCATTCCAAAATTGATTCTTTTTTTAAGCGTGAGTCAATACTGAATAGTGAGTGATGATGAAGTTGGTAAAAGAAAGTTGGGCTGAAGTACTTAATCTGGGTTAATAAAAATAAAAAGAAGAAGGAATCAAGCACTTAGCCTGGCAGGTGAACACTCAGTGAATGCCAGTGTAGTAGTAGATCATGAACACTCAGCACGAATCACAGCACAGTTGTTCAACTCCAGCAGGTTTATCACAGACACGCATACACACACACACACACACACACACACACACACACACACACACACACACACACACACACACACACACACACACACACACACACACACACACACACACACACACACACACACACACACACACACACACACACACACACACACACACACACACACACACACACACACACACACACACACACACACACACACACACACACACACACACACACACACACACACACACACACACACACACACACACCTGTACATGTCTGTGTACCGCGGCGACGGACCCCTCTTGCCAGCAAGAAGGGTCAAATCAAGCTACTTGGTCTCCAATAAAAGAATAAAAGAATAAAATAAAGAATCTGTGAGAGACCACTGCCAGCAAGAAGTGTCAGGTCAAATCAAGTTCTAGCTACTCTTTCCTACTTTTTCCTTCAACTCCATCAGCCGTACTCAACCTCAGGCTGGGACTAAGTCACCGTGGAAGACGTTTTGCGCCCGAGGAACTACATGTAAGCAATAGTCCAGTGCAGTGTGTACTCGTCGTACACGTACATCAATACCTGGCGCAGAGGCAGTGAAGGCATAACCAGGATAGTGGAGGTGAAGGGCAGTGGATTCATTCACAAGGCTTAGAAATCCGGCTACTCGCTAGAATCCACGCGTCCACTGAGCTGCATAGTATTAGTATACAGCATACAGCACACATACTGTACCCCACAGTACTTGCTGCACACACAGTACATGGTACACCATAGTTCCAGAGAGATTAGTGAACAGATGTTGTCCTGTCTCAGGCTGCCCCGTGCGACTCAACACCCGCTGGATATATGGATGCGTTCATTTCGGCCGGAAGTAGAAGTCAATTGTTGTGGCATGACAGGCCCTCAGGTTCATGTCACAAAACCCAACGCTGAATCGGCCCTGGCAACACACAACATGTAACGCAGAGATGAAGTCAAAGAACCTTTTTTTGCAGTGTCCATGAGAAGACGAGGAGCAAAGACCCAAACAGCATAACGGACACACGGTGAACAGTACTCGTACATGTCACTTTCCCGCTGAATGCAAAGAGGAATATCAACCGGGAGAGGAATGGATTACAACAGTTAGTGGGCAGCATGAAGTCGGGGACGGGGACACACATTTTTAAACATGTGCAAGGATCATTAGAAGTCCAGATGACGCTGCTGCTGCGGCTGCTCACCTTGGGTGCCTTGAAGTAGTCAAGTCCTCTTCCGATCTTGACAACCCATCCATTGTCAAACCTGCAGAAGATCACCACATGACAAGCAGAACATTATCACAAATACCTATCAAACACACAGTGCGCCAACTAAAAGCGCTGAAAAAATTATCTTTAATATTCGGACAGCCTCACTACAATGTGATATCGACCGATTGAGAGAGATGGCTACCTTCGGCATGAAGCGATTGTCGACAAAGTAAAGGATGCAGTGTGACCAGCAGCAATGCAGCTACATGAACAAGGTGAACAGAGCAACTATATTCCGTGGAAGAAATGAACAGCAAACAAGTTGTAAATTTTAGTCGGTGACAAGATAGAAATTATTGATAGAAGAACAACCAATCCACAACCAATGGACACCGATTCGTTTGGACAGAAATACTTTTCTCCAGAATTCATCAGTGATTACTTCTGGGACATGATACGAGAGAATGAAACATGTTGTACCTGCACATGTACTCGTATTTTAACCAGAGGTTACAGTGCCAGGCTGCCAGACTGCCAGACTGCTGACCTGTCATATCGAGCAGTCGACTACAATAAGAATACTGTAAAACGGCTAATTTTAGCGACGGTGATATTTTAGCGAAAGAAGTGTTTTCGCTAAAGTTTAGTCGCGCCAATCGAAATTTTGCATGTACAATACAGTACAGGTGGAATCCTGATAATTCGAATATGGCTTAATTCGAACATACTGCTTAATTAGAAGTTTTTCCAGGACCGACTTCTGTCAATACGATTCCCACATAAATTTTTCTGATAATTCGAACCTCGAACCGGACATGTCCGATTAATTCGAAGTTCCACGGATTCCACTTACATAGAAAATGTGTGGGATTTGTGCTGATAATTCGAAGTTAGCAAAGTGTAATTCGAAGTTCACTGTGCACTGTGCTGGTCAGTTCAGTTTGCATGAGCAGGCTGTGCTGGTCAGTTCAGTATCCGTGAAATCTGTGTCTAAGGTCCATAGCGCAACTCTGCGTGACCATGGGAGCATGTTGACAATACATGTTGTGTTGTGGGTTCATGTTTGGATAATTAGAAGTTTTTTCCTGGCATTTGGAGGTTCGAATTATCAGGATTCCACCTGTACTGGCCATCTTCTTTTTTAAAGTCTGAAGCTTGGGTCACTAAAATATTTAGGGCTCAAACGGTTATACCGGATAACCGGTTATCCGACCGCTAGAATTTAATGGTCATGAAACTGTTACGTTTGCGGTTTCAAACAGTTTTTCATGGACATGTATAATGTAGCAGTACATGGTGTACAGCGTTGATCTTAATACAATGTGCAGGATAGTAGGAAACTCTCACCCGTTGGCACATGTCTACAATGAAAACTGATGTCTTTTTACTCATTGGCGGGAGCTTTGGACTTGGAGAAGGGTGTAGTAACGGCTACGTGTTATAGATCCAGTGGGGAGGAAATTGTAGAATTTTGGCTCGGCACTGCAGACGAAACCGTCTTCATCACCACAATTCAGCTTGAAGTTGAGGAAGCCTGGTTTTGATGTCAATGTATAGGACTGGTCTCAATTGTGTTTAATAAAAATGGTGTGTGCTTCATGTTCGTGTATATGTGCTGAAGTTCAATAACCGATTGTAACCGGTTATCCGACCGTTACTTTAGAGGATACCCGGTCATGCAAAAGTTGTGACCGTTTAAGCCCTAAAAATATTCATCGTGAATTGGTCCTGATTCAGAATACGCTAAAAATGTTACCCGCTAAAATTAGCCGTTTTACAGTACCTGTACATGTATAGCACAGGTCATACACAGGTCATACACAGGTCATACACAGGTCATACACAGGTAGCACAGGTCATAAGATAGCAGGAGACCGAGATGACACGCAACGACCACTGATTGTGCTACCAAATTCGCCATAGTCAGTCACATACAATTATACGCACCATACGGACACAAATGCGCACATACAAGCACACATACACATACAAACACACACTCTCTCTCACACACACACACACACATACCTTGAATGTGACCATTGTCGATGACAATGATAGCACACACGCACGCACACACAAATATACCTTATCTCGCGGTCATGTAACGTGTCCGAATAGGTTATATGTAGCGTAATGTGGTGAGTAGCCAGGTCCTTGACCAGTGCTTGCAGATGCTGCTGCTGTTGGCCATCTCCCTGATATGAAGAACAGAACACAAACACCACTACTGACATTAGTATCATGATGACGTAGAGTTTCATAGTGACTACGCTTATGGCTAGCACTCCAGTCAAGAGAACGGAGAATGTGGTTTCGGACGCTGAGCTCTGACTTCTAGGTCACCTTGCATTTTTCGGTTTCCATGCGCACCGACAAGCTGAACAGAGCACGGACAGACTAGTCATAGCTGCCAGGTTAAACATCTCCTGCTCCGCTAGTCTCGGGTCAAGTACATGTTTTAGATTTTACCAAGAGTAGATATTCGCGGATAGAGTGAAAAAAAAGACTCCTGCTGGCTCGTGCCCCACGGCAAGGAAGTCTATGGATCCATGCTGCTGTGCAACCATTAACTGCACGGTGTATTCATAGGTGTATGCATAGGTGTATGCATAGGTGCAGGAGCACATAATCATTCACAACATTGAGGATGTTCTTGTAAACTATTGTCTTCTTAGTTAATGAGTTGCCAGTGTGCCATCCGGGGGCTGCTCAGTCGCTCAGCACCGGTGTTCCAGGACACATTACAGTATGAATGGCATCTGGCAATAAGCCGGCGGTAATCAAGACGAGCTTCAACTGCTGGATATCAACAAGGTCTACAGTGTAAGTGCTTCACCTGAGTTCCACTTTCCAGACAGTTGATCTGGCAATCGGTGGCGTAACTGACGTGCACTTACCCTATCGTCCACACCAGTCTGCAAGCGAATAGTCGTGACGGTACCAAAGCGGACCAGCAGCTCACAGAAACGGAGGAAGTTGGTAATCTGAAACATACATGTCACAGGGAAGTTCAACAGAACACTAGTCAGGAAAAGCCGACAAGACAGCGAACAGCCACATGCATGTTGGCACTAGGTTGCATGTACACAATGATCTTCCTGCCTGCCTCTGCGCACGTGCATACTATACGTCGTACATGATCAAAAGTCAACCAAAAGTCATGTTTCATGTTTCAAGCACCCACGCTATAACCGCTACGTACTACATACAGCATTACAAATTCGTACTGTGGCACACATGTACATGTAACTGTTACATATAGCATGGTAACATAGCCATAGTCTAGGCATAGGCCTACTCGTATTGGCATTTTCTTTTACACGACTGTTACAATGAACCAGTACATTGGCCTATTGTTAAGTGACTTCATCCACACAATACATCTTGGATCGGAGATATAGGTGTTCGCATCCATGTGGCGAACAGTGGCGTGTTAAATTTAAACTGGGCAGCGAAAACTTGTACGTCAAACACATAACGTCTCACTTGATGATTGGAGCGGACATACGCATCATCGACCTCTACCGACAGGGGCTTCTTGCCTTGAAAGACTCGGCTGAAGACATTAGGATAGTCATGACCCACCGATCCTTCCTCAATGACAACTTGGTGATGCTGTGCTGTTGCTGGAAAACAGAACAAAAGGAGGACTGAACGTCATGCTACTACATGTACTGTCCTGCTCAATGAAATCCGATTGCGCGAGCGTGAGTTGCGCCCTGCACCAGTTTACATTCCAGTGCTGGCAGGTCTAGGGCTGCACAGCATGGCATTGACTCACTTGACCGGATTTCATTCAGGAGCACTGTAGTATTTCAAACTTTACACACACACACACACACACACACGCGCACACACACACACACACACACACACACACACACACGCGCACACACACACACACACACACACACACACACACGCGCGCGCGCGCGCAAACATATACACACACACCACACACACACACGCAAACATATACACACACACACCACACACACACACACACACACACACACACACACACACACGCAAACATATACACACACACACACACACACACACACACACACATGCCTACATAAAGCACACACGCTCACCTTCCTTTTCCTGGCGTGCTAGAGACTTGACGGCCTCAGCTCTCTCCACATACTGTCCAGCTCTGGCACGTAGTTTCGTTTTCTCAGCTCCATCTTTCACGTCTGATAAACACGTTTCAAAAAAAGGGTGAAAACTGGAGATGAGACGATTTTTGTTCAGACCACATTAGTACACTGTAGTCTCATTTCCCTGTCATGAAGTTATGCCAAGCTTGAGATATGTGTACAGTATGTACTTTGCAAGCACCACAATTACTAGTTCGCGTGTCTTCAAAATCTAGGTACACTTGTTTTACCCGTTTTCTTCATAATAAAGTACATGTACCTGTCATCTCGTAGATATTCACAAGGTAAATTACACTATCTGAATCCGAGTAGAATTGCACTGTTTCGGATTTTTAAGTTTCTTCCGTGCCACTAGTCAACTTCTGGCTGATGTTCTCATGCGGAAGCGGCCTCGTACCATGATAATTAAATAATTATGTTGTCCGACGTAAGTACCTTTCAACGCGTCCAACAACAACTGAATCCCTTCTTGATAGCAAATGAGCGACTCCGAATAGCGATGGGCCTTATCCAAGTCTGCTGCCCGCGTGAGAATAGAAGCTGCCCTCTCCATAGCTCACCTCCAACAGCCGATATTTCTCCCCCTCTTGTGTTCGCTCGGAGAAAGAAAAAAAGAAGCCGCGGCATCGTCGTCTTTCCTTTTTTCTTTAGCTCTGTTTCTTGCAGCTTGGTCAATGGTCAAATTAATTCAAAATTAGCTGTGACATCATGATTGACATCATTGTAATACATTATGTCACCTGCAAATACGTCATACCATAATTATTATGTACTCTTGCAGTTTTGGTCATACCGCACACCGCGCTACCGGTCTTATGATTCTGAGCTCATGAGGGAGTCGTATCGGCAGTAGTCTATACAGTATAGACCATACGACTCCCTGGTCGGCGATAACAACCATGAACAACGCGTTTAACGGGGGGGGGGGGGGGTATGCTATGATCGATCAGCTTGAAAGTAAAAAGGTCCATCAGGCTCAGAATATAACATGACTGTTGTGTATTATCAAATTTTTGATAGGGCAATCCCCACAGGGCACAGGCACAGGCCGCTACAGTTGTAAGGCCTTCTTACGGGGTAGACTGGTCTACTAGTACCCTGGAAAAGAAAGTACTGAAATACGGAATTGGTGCAGTGAAGAGCATAAGCTCTCTCTCTCTCTCTTTCTCTCTCTCTCTCTCTCTCTCTCTCTCTCTCTCTCTCTCTCTCTCTCTCTCTCTCTCTCTCTCTCTCTCTCTCTCTCTCTCTCTCTCTCTCTCTCTCTCTCTCTCTCTCTCTCTCTCGCTCTCTCGCTCTCTCGCTCTCTCTCTCTCTCTCTCTCTCTCTCGCTCCCCCTCCCCCACCCACTCTTGGTGCGTCTAGGAAGGTGGCTATGAAGTCGAGACCCTAGGTCGGCGGAGCTCCCTACAAGTAAACCTCACCACCACTGCCACGATTCAGGTTGTGCGTGCTTTCCCAAGCTGCATCTCATGTTTGGCATTTAAGTGGTCTTTGTAAAAATAAAAAATAAAAATAAAAAGCGGACTTCAGCAGGATTGCATTTAGAAAATGTTCGCATAATGCTAGCATGCTAATCATATTGCTCCAAAACCGACCTTGTAATGCTGATTATAATGCTTCAACAAGGGCTATAATGCTCTTGGTTTGGAACAAAAATCAAGTTGCCGCTCTACATCCTCTGCTTGCGCTGTCTTCTTCCCCTGAGGTTGCGTGGAGACTTATTATTAATGGTTGGCCACAATACTCTTCTTTTCTGATAGCACTTGACTGTAGGCCTTGCATTACAATCGTCCACGACGAACTGTACGTGCTTCACCAGGAAAGTAAGACACGCGCTGCTGAGCACTCAAATCGTCTTGGTACTGCGTCCATGAGAAATTCTAGTTCTTTTCGAGCCTGCTGAGCTGGACTCGACAAAGGCAGTTATTTAGAACAAGCTCCTTCCTTTTATAGCCGATCCTTCATCCAGGTCCAAATTTATCAATGCATCAATGTTTACTTCAGTATCGCTAGAGATGCTACAGTGTATGCCCAGAGCCTATGGCATAACAGGTAACCTCTTCTTCGTCTGTTTGATATTCCCTTCGCGTACAATGTACGTCTAGTCTCCTCCATGGCTCTCCATGATTTCTAAAAAAGAACTCGTAAATCATCGTTACGGATTTTGTGTAACAGCCTCAGTCGGAACGTTGGGCATGCTACATCACCTATCATTTACCTGATTACATTGCTAGATGACTTTATGTAGCATTATAATTATGTGCAATTTGAAACTCGGATGTTGAGCCATAAATAAATGTAGAAAAGAAAAGGACATATGGATACGAGTTAAGAGTAACTCTCCATCACTGTAACTAGATACTATATACAGTCAGAAAGTGCAATAACTAGGCACAAAACTGACAGAGTACTGAGACATTCGACGTCCTGACACCTAGCTTCAACACATCTCCGTAGCGCTAACCGACAGCCTTCCAACTTGGAAGGTTCAAGGTTATGAAAAGACCAAAAAGGGGAAGGCAAGCGCAACGAAAACGAGCAAAAGCGGTCTAAAGGGGGGGGGGGGCTGCGGAGGCCCAATACATGTACAATGTAAGGCCGGGGATGGGAGGAGAGAAGGCCAGCGGAGAGTCAAACTCAGAAGAGGGAGGGGAGAATAGCTGAAGTACACGTTTACTGTGCGAATTCAAATAAACCAAACAAACAGCAAAACGAGTACACAAACTCACGGGAATAAGGACAGGAGCACAGAAATGACAGTCTACGAAGTGGTGGTACCATCGGTGCATGCACCACGGTACATTATAATAATAACTTTATTAGGATGACCCAAAGGCAAATCGCCTATCGAGGGGTTCACCGCGTTGAATGGTTGTGGTATGACAAAGCAAAGAGGCAACCATTGTGTGTGTGTGTGGGGGGGGGGGGGGATGGGGGAGTTTTGAACTATGCACAGTGAAGGGATAATTGTATGTACATGACCAAGGATAGGGTATACCGGACAAAGTTGTCATTTTTGGGAGCAACGGATTGGGAAGTATAACAGTATTGTGGTAATGAGTGCAAAATCATAAGAGTTAGTTATAGATGGATTCCCGCAGTATGAAAAGCATATTGTTGCAAGTTTTTGCGAAGAGTTTGACGGAACAGAGGAAGAGACTTATCACATTGCAAAGTTCGTGGTAACTGAATATCATGCTATGGCCAACTGTGTAGCAGTCTACAACGTGTAGGGAATGGCAGCTCGGCGGAATGCTGGGATGTTGCCCATGGCTCGCACCGTGTCAGGTATATGATTCCATAACAGGCAACCGCGAGATGCCGGTCGGCATTGGCCTGCTCGGCTTCTGGCTATTGGTTGTTGTAGGCCCAGACTGCGCTGAAGGCGAGTTGCTCCGCAGTTGCGAACAAACAGTGCCTGCAGAGCAGGACTGGCACGGTTATGAACACACCACCATACCAAACTTTCTGGCGATATACCTCGTCCACGCGATAAACAGAGAGCCTCTCCAAGAGGTCACTGGCCCTGGTAAATCGTGGTCGTCCGAACACAGTTAAACACCGCCCTTGCTGCGCGGTTTTGGGTCACCTGCAAGCGGTTTAGCTGGTTGTGGGTCAAGCCGGAGCCATATGCTGACGATCCATATATCAAATCCGGCATGATGACGGATAGGAAGTACTTGCTTCGACTAGCTAGAGTGAGGCAGCGTCGCGCCCGCCACAGACTACCGATCTCCCTAGCAGTGCGTGAGATGCACCAGTCAACTTACTTGCGGTTGCCAGGTCATTCGTTCATCGATCAAGACGCCGAGGTATTTCGCGCTGGTGGTGTGCGGAAGGACATCATTTCGACAGCGTACAACCACGTCCGGCTGCTGCCCACTGCTGCTGGTAAAAACCAATACATTGCTCTTCTTTGCATTTAATACAAGACCACGAGCGTCCAGCCAACTTGAGAGGGAGGTAACCGCCAAGCTGAGCGCATCAGACACCTCTTGCGCTGTCCGTCTTGCACATGTCAGGGCGATGTCATCCGCAAACTGCAGTGATGATGCCGGCGCACATTCAGAGGGGACGTCATTAGTGCTAAAGGTGTTACCATGGTCACATGTCTGCAAAATCACAAAGTCACGTGCCGGTAGATCTACATGGCGTTGCACCTCACGGCTTTGGCTTTGAGTTTGAGCAAGAGTCCATAACCCCCCAGAGTGTGCAACTCGTGATCCTTCTCAGCACAAATCAGTGCCGCAACGAAATCCAAACTTCATACGTCATGTAGTGAGTAGCTATGACGAAATGGGAAGTTTGGCCCGGACCTACTTCGCCCGTTTGCCCAATTATTATTTGGGGTCTTTCTTTACGAATCCACGGCCAGGTATTGTACGTAACACGCCTGGAAAGGCTCAAGTTCACAAAGAATTATTTTAGAGTTGTCGAACAGTTTTCTCTTTTGAGTGTCTCTCTGATAAGAGAAGAACAATGGCCACTGTTGAACCTAAAGCAAAGCGCTCCCCATTGTCGCCGGAGTGCAGTGCCAAAATGGGACTGAGGAGCAGGTTGAAGCACATCTACTTCGAAATCGATCGGGTCTTCATGCCGTGTGCCAAGAGCTATTTCCATCAAATCTTGTAAATCTATATCCATGCCTATTCTTGCTATCCCGGAGTCACGAACTCTCCCAATACAAGCTTTTCAGACAACGAGCAGAGAAACTCTCTTCAAATAAAAAAATTCTGTGACTGTGAAATCAAAGCCGTTCTGCGCTGACACTGCATAGCCCGTGGAGCAAACGTTTTACGTGACACTTCCGTGGCTTGCTTCAAAGCAACCTTCAACTTGGAACCCCCGCTACATGTACCAGATATGCACATGGCCCCATCCGCCCATGCTTGCCCGGAGACCGGATGACGCAATGTTTGGATTTCGTTGCGCCAGACCCCAACCTGGAGTTGCACACTCTGGGGGGGGTTATGGACTCTTGGTTTGAGTGGTGTCAATCGCCTCCCCGCAGTTGCCAGGAAGTATCTCCAGTTCGCATAGTGTGCACTGAATCGCTCGCTGTCCTGTGAGTGATCCTACCTTCAACGTGTGGTTCAAGGTCTCGAAGAGGAGTTTGCTCCTTTTCGAGACGTCATAATGGAGCCATTTGCTCTATTTCAGTGCCCCAGCAATCCTGGAGCAGGACGTTCTTCCTCGAGAACACTCGGTCTCCCAGCAAATACGGTGGCTTGGCTTTGGCCGAACCTGTTCACTCCAGCACCCCAAGCATTCCAGAACTCGAGAAACGCAATTGACATTTTTTTATTTATTTTTTTACTATTGAACACTCACTGCATGATGAACTAAAATGAGGAGAAGAACTCGACACAATGGTACATATCCAGCAGGACGGAGTGGGTGGGACCTGTGAAGCTCAGCCGACCAAGGGTCTCGGCATCACAGCTGCACATGTGCACCAAAGGAAACAAAATGGGGAGTGGAAGGGCGCCTTTGGGCGGGGAGGGGAGCAGGAGACCAAGAACTCTAAGGGTAGGAAAGAGAGGAGGGGGGGGGGTAGGAAACCAGGAAACTTGTTATTCCAAGATATGAGTGCAAACAAGTACGCAAAC